ATGGCAGGGCTGCATCCCCAGCACCCGGCCGCCCCTATGGCTAGCTTTACCCAAAATAATTACACAGACACTGTATTCTTTTAATCACTGCTTGGCCCTTTAGTCCTAGCCCTTACAGGCTAATTCTCACATCCCGATCAACCCATCTCTAATCATCTGTGTATGGCACCCCAAGGTGCGCTTACCGGGGAGATTCTAGCCTAGTCCATCCTGGGTCGGAGCTTCATCCAGGGAGCAGGGCATGGCGTCTCTCTCAGGCGTCTGCTCCAGAGAGGAGAGCTGTGGCTTCTCTGAGCTCACTTCCTCTTCCTCCCAGCATTTTGTTCTGTTTACTCCTCCCACCTATCCTCTAACCAATAAAATGGGCCAGGGCAGTGCCTTTATTAGCCAATGACCTTCCTCCATCAAAACCCTGTCTCAAAAAACCAAAAAGAGCCGGGTGATGGTGGCGCACACCTTTAATCCCAGCACTCGGGAGGCAGAGGCAGGCGGATCTCTGTGAGTTCAAGACCAGCCTGGTCTACAAGAGCTAGTTCCAGGAGAGGCTCCAAAACCACAGAGAAACCCTGTCTCGAAAAAAACCAAAAAAAAAAAACCAAAAAGAAAAAAATCAAAACAAACAAACACACACATTCAATCCATTTTGGTTTGGCCAATTATTCCTGGGTATGGGGCCTGCCTGGCGTTTCATTCCATGCTCATTTTAGGTGAGGAAATCGCATACAGGGATATTAAAAAAGCTCATCAAATTTTGTAAGTTAATCAATAGCTATAATCGTGATGAACTTTGTCTTATTTTTCACAGGTTAACATTTTTGTTAGTCACAGAAAGTTAATCACTACTGCTTGGAAATAAAAATTAATTCAGAGAAACCAGGTAAATGAAAGTCCGCCAACTTTTCTAAGGTAGGATTTTTTTAAAGCAAGTTCTGACTGGGCAGTGGTGCCGCACGCCTTTAATCCCAGCACTTGGGAGGCAGAGGCAGGCAGATCTCTGTGAGTTTGAAGCCAGTCAGATGTACTGAGCTAGTTCCACAACAGCTAGGGCAACAAAAGAAACCCTGTCTTGGAAAACAACCAAATAAATCAATAACTGCAAGATCTCTCTGTGTAGCCTTGGTTGTCCTGGAACTGACTATGTAGGTGAGGCTGGCCTCCCAAGTGCTGGAAGTCAAGGTGTGTGCCACCATGCCCAGCTTTCAGACAAGAATTGAATGGTCAGTTTCTTCAATGAGCTGTGTCTCATCTTGGGAATGGAAATGCTATAATGAATTTCCTCTACTAGAAGCCTAAAAGCAAGACTTAGCTGACATTTTGTCCGATATGTGCATGTTTCCACTGTTGCCCGGGTTTGTTAAGTAAGGATTATAGAGGGCCACTGTTTTGGATTTAGAACCTGCATGAGGTCTCAGGAAACATGCCAGAGCAAAATGCAATCACTCTTTCAAAATGTCTCAACTGAGTAGAAATTTTAAGGAAGCAGATAGATCTCAACAACCCAGCTTTTCCAGAAAATCCAGGGTTCCCGTTGACTTGAGTCATTCAAGATAAGGAAATCTCTTCTACTTATTAACTCTTACTAAGACTACTCTAAAGGCACTTGATGTTAGCCAACTCTGTGTGTGTGTATGTGAATGCACATGTGTGTTTATATGTGTATGTGTATATTAATCTGGTCTCAATTTCCATCTTACAAAACCCAATGTTCTGCTATTGCACAGTGCAAACTTTAATGCTATTTTGTAGAAGAGAAGCTGCCCCAATTCATGAATCACAAATAAAAGTCAATTATATCGATTACTGCATCTATTGCTTTTGCCTCTGGGCAGTTCTAAGAATTTTGTCATGACATTTTTTTCTAGCACGAATTTATTGCAACCATGTTCTATGGAGTAGTATTATTCAGCCTTAATTCTCAATTTTGCTGCTAGTTGGGCAGTCAGGTTTAGGCCTCTTTGTACAGATTTCTTATGCAAACCTCTACAAATGTGGGTGGGAGGCATCAGGTGATATAACCTTTAAATTATATAGTCTCGGCTCCCTAACAGCATCTTAAGCATACCCTTATTCTCACTGATGCAAAAGGCAAATGAATTACCCAACGCCTCAGAGTTTCCAATGCAGAGACCTGGCCAACAATAATGAACTTGAACCCTCTACTATCTGAATTTCATCTCAACAGCCTTACAATGAGAAATAATTGTGTGGACTGCACATGCACGTGCACACGTGCCCACACACACATTTGACTCCCATCACTATAAATCAGAGATGTAAAATCTTATTTTCAGACACTTGCCTTTCTTTTGCCCATGTCAGACATGATCAATTGATCATGGATTTTTTTTTCTTTTGGGTGTAAAGGAAACATTACTTTCCATATTAAGTTATTTAGCCAACCAACACGGATGAAATTCTTTTGTAGTGACAGACAGGGAAAGATAATCGAAATGCAACTTTGAATTAAGGCAGGCTATTGAGGGTCTAGGCACTCAGCTGAAGTGGAAAGTTTGGATAGTTCCTGAATTTCATTTATTGCAATTGTGGCAACAATTTACATTAAGGGGGTCCGGGGATCACTATCTGTGGCCCCTTCTTTCCACTTACCTCGCATCGTCATCATGAGTTATGGTCTAGAGGTCTTGAATGGCTTTGTTTTCTCTGCCAGTTAAGGAGTTAAAAGGAGCGAAAATCTCCAGGGCATTGGGAGAAGACAGCAGCAGACAGAAGCAGCTGGTGAAGAAAAGGTTTTTTATTGGAGGTGAAGAAGTACACACACACACACACACAGCACAGCACACACACAATGCACAACTGCAAAGCAATGGGGAGACTTGGGAAGCTGAAGCCCAGTCTCTATTTCGGGGGTGGGATTTTTAACGGTCTTTTTAAAAAAAAAAAATTATTACGTACACAGCCTTCTGCCTGCACGTATGCCCGCAGGCCAGAAGAGGGCACCAGATCTCATTACAGGAATCACCAAGTGGTTCCTGGGAATTGAACTCAGGACCTCTAGAAGGACAGTCAGTGTTCTTAACCTCTGAGCCACCTCTCCAACACCTTTCAAGGGGTTTTTGAGTGGGCCTTTCTTTCCCAGTTTAGGAATGGTCAGTTTGCACAAAGGCAGGGAGGCTGGGGTCCACAAGGCTGGGGTAGGTTCTGGTTTGTCCTTAATCTTGTTGGACTGGGAGGGGGGCCTTACCAGACCTTTTTGTTCTCCAAACAGGGTCTCTCTATGTAGTCTGGGCTGGCCTGGGGCTTGCTATGTAGACCAGGTTGGCCCCAAACTCACAGAGATCCACCTAGGGCCTTTGTTTTAAGGTGCCAGTCTTTTGTCTCTGGTGAGGAAGAAGATGAGGAAGAAGTCAGACAGGGAATGGGTCTAGCTCCTGAGCCCCAGCAAGGAATCAGAAGTTTCCCTCAGGGTATGAGTTAAGAAGTGTTTTTCAAAACCCAAATCTCGATTGGTTTTTATGAATATTATAAAACCGTAAAATAATTTTCATTTCCTCCGTTCTGTGGCCCTTTAGAAGCTTAGATCCTCACCTACTTTCCACCTTCCGATACTGTTCTATATCTGATGGTTTGCGGTTAGATGTCTTATTCACCCTTAATAAACTTTTCCTCCAATTCTTAATATTTCTCTTGCAGAATGTTGTGTATATTTTAGTAAGTTGCTTCAAATCATTTCTGGAAGATAAAGGATAACTAATGTTATCAAAACTAAAGCAGTCACTTATACAGGGTGAGGAACTTAGGAGGTGCCCCAAGAGGTAACACAGGCCAGTACGCATGCGTGGTAAGAGGGTTCTAAAAGAGAACCCTTCAGTTTGAGAGGACCGCTCTGATAGGCCAGTAGGAGTGTCTAAAGCGGAGGTGGGGGGGAGCGATGTAAACCAGCCAAGTTTGGGTACCATGGAAATGGCCCCACCAGTAAGGGGAGGTAGATGGTGCAGCCCAGAGGAAGAGGCGTGGCCTAGGCTTCAATTGAACCATGAGGACATGGTTACATATGGAGGCGGGCTGGTGGAGTGGGCGGGGCGCAGAATTAGCTCGAGTGTGAGAGAGTGGCCACTGCCGGAGGACTAGGGCGTGAACAATTCAGTTCCTGGCTGTGGTCAGAGTCCCAGTCATAGGTATACCTGCAGAACAACAGCAGAAAGAAGGCGCCCAGCCGGCCGGATCGCTAGGGCGAGCGCTGCCGCAGGGCGGGACTTCCGGTTATCATGCGTGCTGGTCAGAAGTCATGAACACACGTAGTGTTGTGACGTGAGGGGGTGTATCCAACATGGCTGCGCGCATGAAACAGTGTGCCTGGAGTCCTCGCGGACTCGATCCCGGTAAGTGCGGGCAACTCTGTGTAGCATTAGCAACAGTGTAACATGGCCTTCTGAGAGGACAAGCCCTTGGCCCTTACACTATCGCGCTCTATCGTGGATCTGGGAGACCTGTAAGATGTAGGACCCCGAGTCTAGCGGAGGTCCTGCCGAGCAAGGAAGGTGTAGGGTGTCGATTGGCCGGTTATCAGTGTTCTCTCTTCTATAAAGGGTCACCAGATGACCTCTGAAGATGGTTTCCACTTGGGAGGTGACGAGACTGTGTTGGACTCTAGCGTCCAAACACCGAGGAGGAGTCGCCACCAGAGACCATCTCACACACCACAGCCGATGCAAAAGCATGAGGATTTTATTAATTCTGTCATGACAGGGTCCCCCAGCATTCGGGAAGCCGAGGGACCTCGAATAGCTGGTACAGTCAACTTTTAAAGGGGCCACAGAAGCAAGGGCGGTTGTTCTTTGACTATTCCGATTGGCTTATTTGAAAGGGCTATTACCAATAATTGACTGGAGAGCTGTTGCCAGATCAGATGAGGTAAGAGGTCATTTTGATCCCGTTTCCCAGGGGACCGAACCAAAGCATACGTATATGGGTAATTGTTCAGGAACTGAGTACGTGCGAGTGTAGCTGTTAGGTCCTTGGTTCCCAGGGGAGGAGGGGAAGCACTATGGCACAGAGGCTGAGAGGATTCAGAATTGTCAAAAATGGCTTCAGGATTGTCTTAAAGTCTTACAACTGCATCTCTCGAAACCGAGGCTGAAGAAGCTGGAACTTCTCCGGATCCGCGTTATTAATATCCCGACTGTGATACTCACCACCATCTCCAGGGTAGGCATTGGCAGCACACTATGTCTGAAACACAATTCTGAGCCTTTCCACGCCTTGGTTTCTTACGTCCTTTTCCTTTTGTGCCCTGCCCCAGATCGAGAGAAGAGGAACTTCCAAAATAATGAGTCACTGGGATCCCTGTGACAGCCGGAGTTAAAAGTTACTGGGCCGAAGCTGCTGGAAACTCGTGACTGTACTCTTCCTCGTTTGTTTATAACAGAGAGAGAGAGAGAGAGAGAGAGAGAGAGAGAGAGCGCTTGAGAAATACTTGGCTGTGTACACCTTCATTGGGATAATCTCTTCCGTGTCACTCCCGAAGGCCTCTGTTGCTTTTTTTCCTGCTTTCTTTGCTGTCACTCTGCCGGCCTTCTTTCTAGTCAAAGGTTTTGCTGATGTGTGTAGAACAATCTGAAATCCCTAGTGAGCAAAGCAGTCCTGTGCATCTCTCGGGGCAAATGCACACAGGCTGCTTGGGAGCCCCCTGTGAACCCAAATTCACCCCACTCCCTATAGCTGTTCTTCAGTATTTTGGAAACGAAAACTTCCCCCGTTGTTTTTCTCCTTTCCTTCAGGTATTTTAAAGTCCGAATTTCGGGATTCACCAAAAGCAACCAGGTCCCGGGTCTCTGCCTTTCCACACCTCTGTTGCTTTCTGGAGCCGGACCACCATTGCTTAGAACTGGACCGCAAGTGCGGTCAAGTGCATTGCAAGTGGAAGTAAGTGTGAGGGAAATGATGGCCGAGGCCGTCCTCTGCCACGGGTCAGACATCTGCCAGCGGGAATGCGGAGTGGGGCTCCTCTGAATTGTTAGTGGGCAAGGCGAAGAGAGCGCTTGCTCTTACAGCTCTAGATGAACTTAAGTTTGTCCTCCCTGGACAGGTCCACATAAGTTTCAACTTCTGTTGTGGACAGTTATTATTTTTCTCCCCTTGGTGTTTTAGGTCCCTGCATGTTATTTCGTATCCCTCTGCAAATTATTGTGAAGATGGAGTCTGGTCCAGAGGTCCTTGCTAGCAGGGCTCTCGAAGCCTCTCTCCCTATACTTCTGACTTGGAACTGAGCCTGTGAGTACTGTAGTTCCCTTAGCAGAGCCAAAAGGCTTGTTGGGTTTAGAAAAGTCTCATGCTAAGCATGTATACTTAGGGTGATGTTGACACTCCAGCAGGGGATTATATGCCTGAAGAGCTGTGAGCATGACTAGGATGCACACAAAAGCACCCCCCTTTTATAAAGTTGTAGCATACTATAATTATGCCATGAAGAAAGCGGACAAGAACTGCGAGCAGTTTCAAGTATCTCAGAGTCTAGTCTATCCTGTTGGGAGTTATCATTTTTGGTAAAGTCACTCCATATACTGCAACTTTTTTTCTATGGATCTCAACTTGTCCAGAGTTTGGATTTTAACATTGGCAAGCAGTTCAGGGTTAATTCTAGCTGGCCAATTTGTACTTGTGTGCCCTACTTTGAACATGGAAAGTCGGGGGAATTAGAAGATGTTTCTTCACATCCCTCCATGTTCTTTTCTTGGAAATTAAATCCAGGTCATGCTAATGCCACACAATAGACAGTAATTACGTATAGGAAGTAGTCGTTTTCTTATATATCTATTTTGAATTAAGTGTATATGCCTGCCTGTCTGCCTGTGTGCTTCTGCTTGTGGACACTAAGGTCAGAAGAGGGCATTACATCACCGGGAACTGGAGTCACGCACAGTTGTGAGCAGCCTGGTGTATACTGAGACTCGAACTTAGCTCTTTCTTGACCTTGGAGCCATCTCAGCCCCAGGAGGTGGTTATTCTCAATTGGATGCTGCCCTGAGCACTGAGATGTGGAAGGGCATTTCTGACCTATGGGTAGCACCTTCCCCACAACGATCACATTCAGAATGTCTGAAGACATTTCTGAATTTCCCCTGCGCAGGAGAACAAAATAATGTTAAAAAACAAAACAAGACGCCGAGACAAGGATAAGCGAATACACACTTAAACTTGTATGTGTGTGAATGCTGATGAGTTTAATGAAATGGCTAACAGCTTTCAAGCAGTTAATATATTTCTAATATTAACAATGAATTTATTTTCAAATATTGCTTTATGAGTTTGTGTTTTTCCTCTTTGCAGCTTATTAATGTAGGAAAATTAGTTCATTACCAATTGTAGTTCCACTTGATCCTTGAGAACTGTATCATGAACATACTGCTACTGTCAGTTTATTTTCTTCAGCATTGATTGTGGTCTCATTAAATGAATGAGCCTTGACCAAAACAATCTCTGGCTGCTGTTTATGCTGTTATTCTACCTAGATTATTTAGAATGCTGGTACTTCATGTTCTTAGACTTAAAATAGAAAAAGTCATGTTTATTTAATTACTACTGTTTTATATGACTGAGGAATTCTTTTGCTCTGATTTTTTTGTTTATTATTTGTTTTTATTTATGGAAGTTGAAAGCTGAAGGCCGAAGTCAGTATGCTCATATTAGGATTGCTTGCTGGGTTCAGTCCCAACCAAGAAAACAAAAAGTAGTGGCCCATGGAATTACTTGATTAACTCTCCATATTGTATGTCATGTTCACGTTTCTAAGTTGTTTTTAAAATTAGGGCACAATTGCCTTGATTTGGCTTTTAGAATGTTACACTGTCTAACCTGATCCGGTTTTTGCTACTCTACTGAGCATATGTCCTCTTGTGATTACCCACCCCTCACCTGCTTAGTTACAAAAACGATATTCATTGTTTCTGGCAGTTTCATGGGCAGGGGAAGACCTGGTGGATGCTCAAGACCAAGAATGCCCAAGATTGCTGAGCCTTAAATAAAGGTAAAATGCAAACTCCTTTGTTAGTTCCTACAACACAAAACTGATCATGGACTGCTGTTTCTAGTAAGAGGGCTGCCACCCTGTCTTTAACATTCTCCTTCAGGTGTTTAAATCTGATCTCTTGGAGGCTGCATCACTGAGAGGTGTAGCTTTTTCAGAAACAGCATTTCAGGACTCCCTTGAGCTCTGTGTTTATATCTTTGCTGGCTGGAAGTCATCTTTGGCTGTGAACTAAGATTGCTGTCTGCTGTTTTCTTAGACAGTAGGCTGTAACTGTTGACCATTCTGACTTGTAGTTTAACAGCTTGTACATGTTAGTTACTTAAGATGAAAGCAGCCAAAGAGAGCCATTTAGTATAATATCTAATGAAATTGCCTAGTCACCTAGAAAAGAAAGGAGACACGAGGTTCTAAGTCATACAGGTGGAATTTTGTTTTGCTAATTCTTAATGAGATGTAACAGATGTGAGCTAGAATGGAAATAGCACAAATATAATGTTATTGCAGTAATTCTTAATGCTCATGGCCTCTGTACCTTTTGAAAGATGTGAACCATGGCTTACACTTGGTGCCTGCAGTACCAAGGCAGGAGTTCCAAGACATTCTGGGCTGCATAGCTATGAGACCCTGCCTCACACAAAGGAAAATAGATAGATGTGAGTGGGACTCTCTGAAATACAGCAGCCACAAGTCACTTGTTTGCAAATAAACTTTAATTTCATTAAACTTTTATAACTGACTGTGCCTACTCCTTGCTATATTTCTATTGCACGTTTTTAATCTTCAGAGAAGGTTGTTTCAGACAACAATGCCCAGTGTCATGACTGTATTGCTGAGTCTCCCAGTTTTCCAGTTAATTTGGACGGCCATCAGACATAGAGAACTATAGTATTAACAGACTTGTTTTGCTAAGTCTTCACAAAGAATTTTCATGAAGGACAGGATGCCCAGAGTCTTCTTTCATTAACTTTCCAATAACCTTAAACGGTGGCTAGATAGGAACCCCCTGGATTTGTTGAGTATAAGGCTATCTCAGCTCCCTGGGACTAACAAGAAGCCCTGGAGCTAAACACAGGAAATGTAGGCTTCATTCCCTGTACTAATCATGGCTTGTGATTCCACTGTTAGTCAGTTCAGCCTCAGCATTTCCCCCACAACCCTGATAGTCCAGCAGGTCAAACTGTGCTCCTATGACTGTCATTAACGCCTTAAGGAGAGCCTGTCTGTGCATCCCTGCATAAGGCCCTATGGAGAGCCTGTCTATGTATCCCTGCATAAGGCCCTATGGAGAGCCTGTCTATGTATCCCTGCATAAGGCCCTATGGAGAGCCTGTCTGTGTATCCCTGCATAAGGCCCTATGGAGAGCCTGTCTGTGTATCCCTGCATAAGGCCCTATGGAGAGCCTGTCTGTGTATCCCTGCATAAGGCCCTATGGAGAGCCTGTCTGTGTATCCCTGCATAAGGCCCTATGGAGAGCCTGTCTGTATATCCCTGCATAAGGCCCTATGGAGAGCCTGTCTGTATATCCCTGCATAAGGCCCTATGGAGAGCCTGTCTATGTATCCCTGCATAAGGCCCTATAGAGAGCCTGTCTGTATATCCCTGCATAAGGCCCTATGGAGAGCCTGTCTGTATATCCCTACATAAGGCCCTATGGAGAGCCTGTCTATGTATCCCTGCATAAGGCCCTATGGAGAGCCTGTCTGTGTATCCCTGCATAAGGCCCTATGGAGAGCCTGTCTATGTATCCCTGCATAAGGCCCTATGGAGAGCCTGTCTGTGTATCCCTACATAAGGCCCTATGGAGAGCCTGTCTATGTATCCCTGCATAAGGCCCTATGGAGAGCCTGTCTGTGTATCCCTGCATAAGGCCCTATGGAGAGCCTGTCTGTATATCCCTGCATAAGGCCCTATGGAGAGCCTGTCTGTGTATCCCTGCATAAGGCCCTATGGAGAGCCTGTCTATGTATCCCTGCATAAGGCCCTATGGAGAGCCTGTCTGTATATCCCTGCATAAGGCCAAAGCCTTTGAAGATGTTCTTTGGTTCTGTAGGAAAAGCACAGCCCCCATGACAAAGACAGGCTAGAAAGCCAGTGAGGATGGAGAACAGTGCTGCCCGGCAGGTCGGGGAGAAGCCACAAGGATCATTCTCCGTTTTCTAATGGGTTAGGAAAGGGAAAAGGAAACTCATTTTAGTGATTCTTTTTAATAATTAGTTTATTATTTTATGTGCATTGGTGTTTTGCCTACAGGTATATCCTTGTGAGGGAGCAAGATTCCCTAGAACTGGAGTTCCAGACAGTTGTGAGCTGTCATGTGGGTGCTGGGAATTGAACCCAGGTCCCCTGGAATGGCAACCAATGGTCTTAACCACAAAGCCATCTCTCCAGCACCCTAATTTTAGTGATTTTGTTGTTGTTGTTGTTGTTGTCTGTCTATTTTGGTTTTTTGCTTTTCTGAGACAGAGTCTCTCTGTTTAACAACTCTGGCTGTTCTGTAACTGGCCTTGCAGACCAGGCTGACCTCAAACTCACAGAAATCTGCTTGTCTCTACCACCCAAGTGCTGGAATTAAAGGCATACACCACTATCACCCAACTCGGCTCTCTTTGCCAGTTTTAACAGAGACCTTATTCATTGGCTTTGAATTCTGCAGCTAGCAGTTACAGTATGCCAGAGGGGAGGATGTATCATCTCTGTGGCAGGCGTCTTTGAAACAAAATCAAGAGCTGGATGTAGTGGCATTGGAGAGGCTGAGCGAGGGGTTTAGGGTTCAAGGCCAGCCTGGGATACGGAACAAGACCCTCTCTCAAAAAAGAATCAGAGTCATTTGAGGAATTTCTGAAAAGATGTCCATTCTGATCAGATTATACTATTAAAGACAGAATGCCATTTAAAATCTGTGTTCCAGTTGGTTTCTGAAATACAAAGCTCTCTGAAGAGCAAGTTATTGTATACTATAAAAAATGAAAGCAGTGGCTTCAGGTCTGTTGAGAGATAAAAAGAACACCATGTCAGACGGTGGTAATAAAAGTCTGTTTTCAGAAGCTGCAAGCCTGGGCATGCTTTCCCTGCTCCTTTGGGCTTTCTTACTCTTTCTCGGAAGGCTCCGCCCCACTTTCTAATAGGAACATACTGCTCCTAGTCTAACAGTTGAGTGGTGCCCCATTTTCAGCGATTGGCTTCTGCTATTTAGTAGTTCTGCCTTCTTTCTTTTATGCTCCCATATATAATCCTATAATAAAACTTTCTAAATTAAAAAAAAAAGACCTCACTTTTCATAGATCAAGATTTCTCAACTGTGGGACTTAAAATTTTGGCCTGGAAAATTATGGGACTGCTCTGGTCTGTGTTAAGGTATTGAACAGCATCTCTCGCATCTGTCCACTAGATGGCACTGCTGCACCTTTACTTGTAATAATCCAAATGTTCTATGAAGGCAAGATAGCCTTTTCTGTTGAGAACCACTTTTCTAAGAGGGTTCAGTGTCAGTGTTGCCCGGATACTTGTATCCACCTCCACCTCCCAACACACACACACAAAGAAAAATAAGGGTTTGATTTTGAATTTATACTTGTAGCAACTAAAGCAAGAGAATCATTTCTTCTTTGAAGATGAATGAGAATAAGCAATTTTCTGTTTTTATGGAAATAGGAGCTTTCCAGGCTCTTCATCTTAGTTTACCTGTATTTCAAAAGAAATCAGGAAACAAATTGATGGGAAAAAAGAATCTATTTGTAGTTTGGGCAAGTGTTGACTTGTAGGCTTATTTTAAGTGCTTTTACAACCCAGAAGACAGATTCTTGGGAGTGGCAATTTTATTCAACTCTAGGCTTGGGAAAATGGGGTAGAGACCACATGCTTCACAGAAAAGCAGTCCCCATTTTCCTAGGGAGCCACAGATGCTGGGTTTTTCTAGGGCAGTGGGTGGAAAACTTTTGCTCTTTAATGCCTTTTGTTCTCCCTTAGAGAGATTTGTTCCTCTTCTTCTGCAGTCTGGCAGGCTCCAGGGACTTCCTGCAGTCCTATTAACATACTAATAGGTGAAGGAAAACTGCTGGAAGTTAGGGCCCAAGTGGGCAGAGTTAGTTTGCTAGTGAACCACAGTGATAATCAAGGCTTGCAGGCTTTGTTTACTTTGCATATTAATGCACACTTTTAGTCTATTCTGTTACCTACTAGTTTAATTTCCTTCCTGCAGCCATCTTAACAGTTTTACCATTTTCTCTATATTCTATGTGTTTTATATCATCTGTCTTGATCCCATGCACTTATCTGTCCCTTTGAATCCACTCTCCGCCCCTGCACATCCCCCAAATAAAACAAAATTTAAGGGGAAAAGGAAAGAGAAATAAAAGGTGGAGAACTTAAAAATCCTGGCTATGCTGTTGTTGTCCTGCGCTGTGGGGAGCCTGCACCTTTGCGATTTATAGCAAGCCAGGAGACATAGGCTAGGACATAGACACGCCCTAGCTCTCAGGTGCCTTATCCGGTCCATGCCTGGGTGGTAAAAAAAGAAATAAAAGGAAAGGACATGACTGCTGCTAGGTTTGGTGGGTAGCCAAATGTCTGGATTGAAGAGCCTCTGGGGGAAGAGCAGCCCAGAGATCAGGGTAGAGGGCGGGGTATGCCAGCCATACTCTATAACAGGTAGGGACCAAGGGATGCTGGGTCCGCTTTGATATGTTTGAAACAACCCTGGGTGGAAGGGAACTGGACCTCAGGTTGCTTCTGTTCTGTTATAGAGATAATTTTTTCTTTAAATCTGAACTGAGGAAAACCGAGTCTGAATGATATTGCCCTCCCCTCCTCCATTTTTAAAGGAGAAAAGTCTAGCTTTTTTGTGAGGGGTGGTGTATAAGATCCCCGTCCATTAGAGGCCTTGCCAAGTTCTTAGGGCCTAGGTGTTTTGTCTTTGGAGGCCAGCTTCCTTGTGAACTCCTGTTTGCCTGTAAAGGTTCCGCTTCTCCAAGTGAGAAAAGATTAATCTAATAGCAGGGCCCACTGTCTCTCTTTTAGACCCGTGATACTCAACCTGTGAGTTGTGACCCCTCTTGGGGGTCACCTGAGACCACTGGAAAACAAATATTTACATTACGATTCATAACAGTAGCAAAATATAGTTATGAAGTAGCAACAGAAATAATTGTATGGTTGGAGATCACCAAACACAAGGAGCTGTATTAAGACTAGCTCTTCTACACACACACACACACACACACACACACACACACACACGCACACACACACACACACACACATACCTGCCGCAAGGCTTCAGCAGAGAAACACTGTTCTGGGGATTTGACTTTGTCACAGGTGCATTTTACTTGGTAAAATCTGTAGACTCGGTGGTGGGACATAATACAGAGCTCTGGTCATGGTCAATAACTTTCGGCCATTTATGTCTCCTACTTTTACTCTTTTTTTTTTATTGCGAAAAGAAGAAAAAAAACATAAACAAAAAACAAGTTTCCACCTCCTCCCAGCCTCCCATTTCCCTTCCCCTCCTCCCACCCTTCTCCCCCTCCTCCCACCCTTCTCCCCCTCCTCCCACCCTTCTCCCCCTCCCCCCACTCCTCTCCCCCTCCCTCTCCAGTCCAGAGAGCAGTCCGGGTTCCCTGCCCTGTGTTAAGTCCTAGGTCCTCTCCGTCCATATCTAGGAAGGTGAACATCCAAACTGGCTAGGCTCCCACAAAGCCAGCACATTAAGTAGGATCAAAACCCCCTGCCATTGTCCTTGGTGTCTCATCAGCCCTCATTGTTCGCCATGTTCAGAGAGTCCGGTTTTATCCCATGCTTTTTCGGTCACAGTCCAGCTGGCCTTGGTGAGCTCCCCGTAGATCAGCTCCTCTGTCTCAGTGGGTGGATGCACGCCTCGTGGTCCCAAATTCTTTGCTCATGTTCTCCCTCCTTCTGCTCCTCCTTGGGACCTTGGGAGCTCAGTCCAGTGCTCCTGTGTGGGTCTCTGTCTCGATCTTTATCCATCACCAGATGAAGATTCTATGATGATATGCAAGATATTCGTCAGTATTGCTCTAGGATAGGGTCATTTCAGGTTCCCAATCCTCAGCTGCCCAAGGAACTAACTGGGAACCTCATCTTGGGCACTAGGGAGCCCCTCTAGGGTCAAGTCGCATGCCCACCCTAAAGTGGCTCCCTTAACTAAGAATTGTGGTTCCGTGCTCCCCTATCCACCTTTCCTTTATCCCAATTCTCCTGTTTCCCAGGTCCCCCCTCCTTCCCTTCTACCTTTTCTCTCCCCATCTCCCCTTACCCCCATCCCCCCCAAGATCCCATTTTCTCCCCGGAAATTTGGTCTACTTCCCTTAGCGAAGAGGACAACTATATGTTTTTCCTTCGGTTCACCTTCTTCCTTAGCTTCTTTAGGTTCACCTATTGTAGACTCTGTGGTCCTTATTTATGGCTAGAAACCAATTATGAGTGAGTACATCCCATATTCATCTTTTTGGGTCTGGGACACCTCACTCAGGATAGTGTTTTCTATTTCCATCCATTTGCATGCAAAATTCGAGAAGTCATTGTTTTTTACCGCAGCGTAGTACTCTAGCGTGTATATATTCCATACTTTCTTCATCCATTCTTCCATTGAAGGGCATCTAGGTTGTTTCCAGGTTCTGGCTATTACAAATAATACTGCTATGAACATAGTTGAACAAATGCTTTTGTCATTTGATAGAGCATCTCTTGGGTATATTCCCAAGAGTGGTATTGCTGGGTCCAGGGGTAAGTTGATCCCGAATTTCCTGAGAAACCGAAACACTGACTTCCACAGTGGTTGCACAAGATTGCATTCCCACCAGCAATGGATGAGGGTACCCGTTCTTCCACAGCCTCTCCAGCAAAGGTTATCCTTGGTGTTTTTGAGTTTAGCCATTCTGACAGGTGTAAGATGATATCTCAAAGTTGTTTTGATTTGCATTTCCCTGATTGCTAAGGAAGTTGAGCACGACCTTAAGTGTCTTTTGGCCATTTGAACTTCTTCTGTTGAGAATTCTCTGTTCAGTTCAGTGCCCCATTTTTTAATTGGGTTAATTAGCATTTTAAAGTCTAGTTTCTTGAGTTCTCGATATATTTTGGAGATCAGACCTTTGTCTGTTGCTGGGTTGGTGAAGATCTTCTCCTAGTCAGTAGGTTGCCTTTGTGTCTTAGTGACAGTGTCCTTTGCTTTACAGAAGCTTCTCAGTTTAAGTAGGTCCCATTTATTCAATGTTGCTCTTAATGTCTGTGCTTCTGGGGTTATACATAGGAAGCGATCTCCTGTGCCCATCTGTTGTAGGGTATTTCCCACTTTCTCTTCTATCAGGTTCAGTGTGTTCGGACTGATATTGAGGTCTTTA